AATGTTTGGGGACAGGATTAACTAAACCTATTACTGGTGGACACTATATTTTAAATTCCCATTTTTTTAAAAAAAAAAAAACAACCCTACTTCATTCATACAAATTGTTTCTTTTTTACAGGAAGTTATTTTTTTTTTCAGGAATATTCTTATCACTAAGTAACAGTTTGTAAAAGAAATCATATATTTAGAAAAGACTGCCGATTTATAAAGAGTCAAATCATTTTTTAAAAATTCCAAATATTAGTTCAGTCCACCAAAGCAATTTGTCCTTCCATCAATGCAGTTTTCTTGTGTAAGACAGAAGACAGAAGTTGTATTGGTTTAATCGTCCTAGTTGAACTTCTCAGTGAAACAGAAATCTGTGAAGCACATTGTTTTCAACTTATATGGTTCAAGGCTTGAGTTTTTCTCTTGAGATGCCGTTTTCTGATTTTTATCATCCATTTCACACTCAGTTTGGCAAAATCGGCTGCTTTAAACAAAGCCAGGAATATACCACATAAAAGAGCAATCATGTTCCAAGGATTTGCAGTGACAATCTATGAAAATAAATTAAATTAATCATTTAAACTGTCTATTAAAGAGCTACTGCTTACTTTTTATTATGGAATGTTTTATAATGAAACACTTGGTTTATAATAAATATATTAAACTTCTACTTATGGTTACTTCTCCAAATAGACCAAGAGAAAAAGTTGCATTCAGTATCATTTTCCTTGTTTCATATTCACATGGCTAAGATTTTGCTGTTAATAGAACAATATCTAAACCTGGTTTATTGATCGTGTCTATAGTGATGCTTAAAAGGTTATGAACCCTTTTGAATTGTCAGTGTTGGTACATATGATCTAAAATGTGATCAAATATGTGGCTTTGGATCAGTTTCCACAATAAATAAAAGAACAAATATAATGTTTTTGACATATTAGTTTAATTTGGTTCTTTTTAATTAATTTGGGACGTGTGAAGAGGTGATAACATTTTAAGTTATATTTATGCAGAAATATTGAAAATTCAAAAGGATTCACAAATGTTTAAGCACCAGTGGATATGCCTACTTTTAAGATGTAATCAGATACAGGTAATCCCTGAGTTACGAGCATTCACTAACGCTTGTTCAAAGTTATGTGATAAGTGCCCCCTAGTGCTTACGAGCAAGTCCCAAAGTTACAAATATTGCAGTACTACAGCAGTCATTCACCCTTATGAGCGATTGCAGTGGCTCTGCAACATTCACCCTAGTACCTCCCTACCCCCGCCCTGTGTCTCCCTAGGCACCAGGCCTTCAATACTCACCCTGTGAAGTTGAGATCCTTCACTTTCTTGGCTGCTCCAAGCCTTCTGTGCGTTCGCAGAGAATGGAGGCCTAAAGTAACGCAAGCTCACGCAAGATCAGTGGGGTGAGATCTCACGTTACTGATCTTGCGTGATCTCATGGTACTTTAGATCTCTGTTCTCTACAACAGAGAATGGAACCAAAGCTAGAGAATGCTTCCGCAGCACCCCGCAGCCCGATCAGGCCTTGAAAACGCCTCTGGAGCCCGCATCTGGCCACGGGGGGGGGGGGATGGAAGTATTCCCTGGCCTCAGATCCAGGTGGCAGCAGCCTGGAAAAGGCCTCCAGAGCCCAGATCGGGCCGCAAGGGGGCACGCAGAAGCGTTCCCCTGCCTCAGATCTGGGTGGCAGCAGCCTGGAAAAGGCCTCTGGAACCTGGTTCAGGCTGGGGGAGGCAGAAGCATTCCTGGCCTCAAATCCGGGTGGAAGCAGGAACCACGGCAGAGAAGAGACGGATCTTTTCCAGGTGAGTCCAGTACGGCAGGAAGGGAGGGGGAAGCATGTGGTATCTTAGTGGGTCGGGGAGGCCTTATTCCATCACTAGGCCCTCCATGGCCTTCCCCACCCTGAGATACCTCATGTTCACTTAATGAGCTGCGTGCGTTTTAACGAGCAAGGGAGTGATCTCGTTCGAGGTACGAGATTCACTCTACGAGTTTTCGAGTTACGAGTAGAATGGGCAGGCTCCATTACACTTGTAACTCGAGGACTACCTGTATACATTTTCCATGGAATAAGATGCCATGAAAGAAAATAAACTTCCTTCTAAATAGACATATTACTGCTAAAATGTTATGTTTCCAGAGTTATTATATTTCAGACAAGTCACAGTGTACAGCAGCAATCAGGTTTTTCCTGCCATTACTTCACTCTTTGATAAACCTGCATCTGGGAGTCTACATAGGATGCAAATTTCTAACTATTCTGACTACATTCTAAGGGAAGATACATTCCAATTACAACCATTCATTTAGTGACCAAAGTTGCAGTGACAATGAAAAAAAGTGATTTATGATTGTTTTTCACACTTAACATCTGTTGCAGCATCCCCATGGTCACAATCAAAATTCAGATGCTTGGCCACCGGTTCATATGTTTGAGTGTTACAGTGTCCTGTCATATGATCACCTTTTGTGGCTTTCTGACAAGCAAAGGCAATAGGGAAGCCAGATTCACTTAATGACCGTGTTACTAACAACTGCAGTGAATCACTCAACAACTGTGGCAAGAAAGGTCATAAAATGGGGCAAAACACATTTAACAACACTCTTGCTTAGCAACAGAAAATTTGGGTCAATTGTGGTTGTAACTCAAGGACTAGCTGTATATCATCTTGAAAATAGTAGATCTCCTATTTGTGCTCCTAATTTGTACTTAGGCTGGCACTTTACATCCATGCAAAAATGATCCACATTTACTCACATCTTGAACTTCCTGAATAAAAGGATCTTTCCATTCAAACACCACAAAAAATAGCTGGTCGGTACCAGCTTTTATCCTCCGTTCAATGTAGTTAACCACGCTAATCTGACAGAATAAAGGAAAAAAATAGGTGATTATTCATATATAACATACCAAAACACTTTTTAAAAAAGCCCAAGAATCCAAATGCCTTAGAAATAAAAATAAAATTGACAGCCTGCTGCTGTGGGACTAAGTTGAGGAAAAAAATAGGAACTTACCAAGATGTGTAGGAATGAGGCATGCAAACAACACTGGCTTCTAAAAGGTAAGTAAAATGGGGGAAATTCCCAAAATGGTTGAAGTGTGGAATATAGCCAGCAATAAAACTCTTATTTTTCAAAAAAGAAAAATGGGATAAGCTAAAATTCATATAGTACAATACCTTCAAGAAAGGCTACACTTTTTTTTTATAGATAACTGATGGGGGAAATTGCTAGAAAAATTCTTAAGCAGAAATCTTAATGATCAGTAGTTCACAGATCTAATTTCTCAAATGTATTTCATTATGAGTTTAATGCATTTCTTAATGGTGGATCATTTTTTCTTTGCTATTTGTTGCCTTCAGATTGCAGAAAAATGGCCAGTACTGTAGTTGTCAGGACCAGCTTTACCATTAAGCAAAGTGAAGGGGCTGCCTTAGGGGCAGATATTGGGGAATAAGCAGGGCACATATGCTAGTCCATCTGAAAGGGGAAAACTGTGCTGTGGAATCTGCCTACTATCCCAAGCATTGTGAAAGATACCATCCTATTGTCAGTGCTGAAGATTAAGTTATCAGTTTAGCTAATTTGTGTATGGTGTCTGGCATAAAAGTTCCTTAGGAAATCACTGAATTCCAAGTTAAAATTGTGATTTAAGTATGTAGGGCAAGATTAGGAAAAATTTATCTATCTGAATACTTTGCTGGTTGATACTTATAATTAGCAAAGAAATTCTGCAAAGTCTTCAGTCTGTACTTTTCCAACCTTTCGTGGTTCACTTTTTCACAAAACTCAAGACAATACAACAGCCAGAATCCCAGCTATTTGTTCAACAATAAAAGCTGTGTGGTCAGAAAGCCTCATGAGACATCATTACCTCCTGCCTGAATTCGACTGCCATTAAACCATTTTCTTCTTTAGTTTTCACCAAAGACATTTTGACCCAAGTTCGGAAACCTCCAGAGAATTTCCAACTGGAATAGGAGCTCTCACACACCTTCATAAATTCCGACTTGTTTGGACTGTAATGGGAAGAAATGTTATGTTTAGACAAATTATTATGGTTTACTATGAAGCTTTGTTATCTTGAAGAAAAAAAATGTGTAGTGCTCCTGGCTTTATAGATTGTTGCTCTGACTATGATTTTCTGTCAAATCTCTCATTTCAGGTTTCCCAGCAAGTTTGTAATACTTTTCTTGGAACCTGTTAAGATTACTTATTATCACCTAATATTTAAAAAAAAATTGTTTGTGTTTGTGTTATTTGGAAATCTCCATGTTGTAAAGCTTTTCAGTTTTAGCTTTATTTCAGTTATGTTGTTCTTTAAGGTGAATGAAATGATAACATATTTTTGGCAGTTACTTGCAGCAACAACCAACACAGAGCAGGTCAATATAATTTGCACCCTGCGGATGCAAAAGTAAGTAAAGGCCATGGGCCTCTATGGGAATGGGGCAGCAAATAACAAAAAAGAATTGTAATGCAAACCACAAGGCTTACTATTGATGTTTGATATCAGAATGGAAGTACAAAAGTTGATGTTTGTGTTGTAATATACATTCTGTCATTTTCTGATTTTCACACTTTGAACTCACATTTATGGTAAGGAGCTGAAGCTAAGAGAATTCTGTCTTGCCCTAAGAACAGCTACTGAGGTTTTAAAGAAATTCAGAATTATTGCATTATTTATCATTTAAACTATAGTTACGCCTTACAATCTTTCCTAGGGCTTTCCAAATATTTTGGTCCTACAATTCCCCTTAGTCCAAGGCAAAATGAACTCTGGTGAAGAAAGGCTGGGCCTTAGCTCAGAACTTGTGGAAGAGCCATTCTGAGAAGAACTGCTATATATACTACTTCATCATCATTTTAGCCATTGTCTATCCACTGCAGAATGAAGGCCTCCTCCGCATGTTTTCAACCAATACAGTCCTGAACTTTCTTTTGCCAATTGGGCCCACAATACTTGCTAATCTTGTCAATCTATCTTGTTTCAGGTCTCTTTCATGGATGCTTTTTATCAAGTGGAATCCATTCTATGACTGCCTTGGTCCACCTGACATCAGTTCTTCTTGCTATGTGACCACTTCCATTTCATTTACTCTCTTTTTTTATAGATATTTTATTGAGTTTTTATAGTTATAAATCTTTAGTGCCTAATAAACATGTTGTCTGGGTACACATATTTACCATTAATAATAATACAATTTCCATTTCTACTCTCTATTCCGCTTTTCTAGCCATTTATAAAAATTATCCCATGTTTGAAAATATTCTGTATCTTCTTTCCCTTTCATTTCCAATGTAAGCCTATCCATTTCCGCACAATCCAAAATTTTCCAAATCATATCTTATGGTGTTTTTGTTTTTCCAATACTGTGTAAATGTAATTCTCTCTGCTGTTAATACATGTGATATCAAATATATACATTTTTGTCATAGTTCTCTATAATTATACCTAGAAGAAATAGTTCTGGCTTAAAATCTACATGCTTTCTTAATGTTTTCTGTAACCACATATGTATTTTTGACCAAACTTTTTTTGCTTTAGGGCATGTCCACCAAAGGTGATAGTACATGCCTGGATTTTGCCTACATTTCCAACAATTACTAGACATGTTTTTAAACATTTTTGCTAATCTTGCAGGTGGTAAATGCCATCTATAAAACATTTTATATAGATTTTCTTTATAAGTAGCTGCCCTTGTCATTTTATAGTTTCTTTCCCACAAGTTTTGCCATTTTTCTTATTCTACATTGTGTCCAAAATTTTTTGCCCAAGTTATTATTGTTTCTTTAACTTGTTCATCTTCCATCTTCAAGTTTAAAAAAAATTATAAAGTTCTTTAATCAATTTTTCATCTGACATAATATCTGGTCAAAGATTGTTTGATCTTTATAAAAACCTTGTTTTGGCATATTTTTTTGTATCTCATTTTCATTTCCAAGTGTGGCCACCATGATAGCTCAGTACCATTCTTCCAATTCTTGTTTAGTTTGTAATTTCCCATCATTATTCAAAATGTCTCTGTATGTCACAAGTTTCTCATAGTTGATTAAATTTGGGTGCACAAACGTTTCCATTGTTGAGATCCATCCTAGTATTTTCATATAAATTTTCATTTTTATCTTTTCCCATGTCAGAAGTAAGGCATTTCTTATGTAGTGAGCTTTACTCTCTTGATGATATTGTATACTTTTGTTCTCTAATCCATGTCTTGTGATGCTGGCATGTATCTTTTCATGGCTCTTTGCACCTCTCATAGTTTTTGTATTAAATATATATATTTATTTAGATGTAATTCCCCTGAAGTTAAAGGAGGTTGATTTCTGAGCACATAATTAGTGCACTTTGGCTAGTATGCAGCATCAACACCTAAGCCTAACAAGGGTTTTGAATTGCATATTATACCAGTTTGCTGGTCTTTGCCTTTTTCCTGGCATAAAAGCCTATTCTGCTATTGTTTGGAAACAAATTCCTCCTTGATAGGACCATATTAAAAATTCCATTGGAAATAATATTTTTTAAAAAAACGAGGCACAAATGGATTTAATTTTTCAAATAAATAAAAGCTGGAAGGATTAAGCCTCCTAGTTCCATGCAGAGTACATTGGACTATCATGCATTTCAGGTAGACTAAGTAAAATATGAAAGTAGAAGTTTACATAACATTTAATTTAGCCTTCTGTTCTTTGAATCTTGTTGATTATGTGTGTCTATGTGTCAAAAATTTCAGACAGAACTTTGCGCTCTTCCAATACATTAGCAAAATTAGTTCCAAACTCACCTTGGAAAATGCAATGTAACCATGAGACTATAACAGGCATGTCAAACTTGCGACATCATGTCTTTTTCCCCATTGCCGGCAATGGGCACGATTTTGGCATGATGCATCCGGCGCGCAGGCTGGCAGTTTGACATGCCTGGACTATAACACAAACTTGGGCTTTTCTTATGGCCCCAAAGCCACAATCAGTGTGAAATGTTATTGGGTGGGAAGCATGAAGCTATAAATATTTATATTTATAAATATTTATAAATAAACCTCCGTTTGACAGACACTTGCAGATACAGAACCTGCAGATACATAACTTTTATTATACACAGAAAATTACATTACATTATTTTTTGACAATCACCATTCAAATTGAGGCACTTGTTGGAAGTCAGCATGCCCAACGCTTGTTATGGATGCCTCGTCTTGAGTTTTCGTAATGTTTCACAGTAGATTTCTGAATTGACGGTCGAGCCACGCTCCATGAACTTCACTAGCAGTACTCCTTTGGCATCTTCACATTTGGTGGGATTTTCTATGGCAGCTCTTTGGGTGTGGTGTTGGTTCACAATAATGCTCACCCACACACCGCTAGACGCACCCAAGAACTTTTGAAGCAGCTCCATTGGGATGTTTTTGATCACCTCCTATAGCCCAGATTTGGCGCTGATTTTAACTACTAAGGAATTTCAAACCTTGTAAGACGTTATGACAAGTGCCTCAATCTGAATGGCGATTATGTTGAAAAGTAATGTAATGTTGTAGTTTTCTAATGTGTATAATAAAAAGTTCTGTATCTGCGAGTATCTATCACTGATAACCAAATGGAGGTTTATTTCCAAATGGCCCTCATATATGTAAAGCTGCCTTTCTGAATGTGAGCTTGCTGCCTGCCTGAAACAATATTTTCTCTAATGATATGCAGGTCCTTTCTAGTTTTCAATGCTATCTGAAATGACATTTAGAGACAAATTTAACTGGTAGCAGCAATAGCAAGGGATAAATAAAAAGTTCAGTAATAATCAGGTACTTAAGATACGCATCAGACACAAATACATGAAAATGAAATGTAAAAATAGTGATTTTATGGAATATAAATCAGTTTTGGAATTTTAACATTTTTGAAATATGTTCAAACAAGCCCACATAGAAAAAATTAGAGGCAACTTTGTTTTTTCACACAGTGATACTCAAAACTCAGCTGTACAGCTAAGAGGATTAGCCTCACTGCATTTTACCTCTGAAATTTTTCTGCTCGCTTATGGCTCATTCTACATTCAAATTCGACACTGTCCCCATTTTGTGATTTTAAAAAGAGAACTGTTTCTCTAACTTGCTTCCCATACATTAAATAAATATTAGCTCTTTTTTCCTATTCCTAATCTACTGAACTGCTGCTTAGTTACTTCAGGAAATGCCAGCAGGCTGGAAGCAAAATACTTCACTTTGGGGGCCGGGTGTTCTTCCTTCCTCATCACTCTTATATTTAGGTTCCTCCAAAACAAGAGTTTATAGGCAGGGAATCAAGATGACTTGTGTTTCTTCCATCTATTTTATATCACAATACTATAAAGCTGAACTGAGACATGATTTGTTGTATACTGGACAGAGCTTTAGTTTCCCAATTATTATACCAATTTTTCCCCCTCTAAAGTAGATTGTAGAAGAAAAATGGAGCAAATCAGCAATGGATTTGCATGCTTAATTGACCAAGTAAGGCCAATCAACTCCTACTGTATCTTTTCCCAACCAGAGTGTCCCAAGATGTATATAACCATTGATGAGGATTATGAAAGTTGAAGACTACAGATTTGGAAGATACCCAAGAGAAAAGATTTGACTTAGCATAAGTAACTGAGAAGTATTAGATCTGCTTTTTTGTATCTGACTCTCTTTGATGAACCCTGGAATCTTACTAAAAAAAAAAAAAAGATCTTCACAGTCATGAATTTGTCCAATCTTTTATGTCATACTAGTCTTAAGCATATAGTACCTCTACTTTCTGATGTGACTGAAAATTAAAGAGGGCCGTACCTGTGGAGAAAATCTTGAAATGAAGAAAAAAGAAGATAATCTATTGCACTGAAATCCTGATCAGTCTCATTCAGATGAAACTGCATGAAGACCAATTCCCGTTTCTTCACATCTTGGGGTCCTTTGACAATCACAGCATGTTTCTACAAGTGCAAGCACAAGGATAAAAAAAAATCGACATTGCCTTCTACATGGATGTAAATATTAAGATAGTCCTGATCCTAGAATCCATTCACTTACCAACATTTAGAAAAATAATATTCCAAACCATTCCATTGTTTATATTAATTACAACAGGCTAAATTTAAATTTAGGCAAATGATACTGGCAGATAGAGATTTCCGCTCTTGTCTTCCTACCCCATAGTAATTTTCATAATACCTTCTACCTACATGTAATATGGTCAACAAACTGAAGAAAGAAAGAAGGCAGTGGAGGCCCCTTCTCTTCCCTGAGTGGTTGTCCCAATAAGATGACTTGCCTTCATTCATTCCAGTATCATCCCTTTCATTTGACATCCATCTTTAATTCTTTGCACAGCATTTGGAAAAAGGTGGTGGTAAAAACTTCTGAGATTGGCACTGATCATTTAAGTTTTCAAAGCACTACACTTCCATTGCTATGGCAAAATGTGGGGTTTAAGATAAGCCAACATTATAGACAGGTTCACAAAATACCCACTCACACATGGAGGGCATGTCTGTGAATTGGCACACCAGCTAGTCTTATTCTACCAAACTTTTATCTTTCTAGACCAGTGATTCTCAACCTTTCTAATGCAGTGACCCCATAATACAGTTCCCCATGTTGTGGTGACCCCCAAGTGGGTGTAGCCACCAATAAGAGGGAGTAGGACAGCTAGGGAAAAGGGAAAAAAATGGCAGACAGCATGGTTTGGTGACCCCCGTGAAATGGTCATTCGACCCCAAATGGGGTCCCGACCCACAGGTTGAGAACCACTATTCTAGACTATATCTATTGCACACATAATAGTTACACAAAACCATATGGTTTCTGCACTGAAGAATCCTTATTTTTTCCAGACACAGCCAGGGAGGCACCAGATGCTATGGATGCTTTTATGGAAATACTTCTATTGCTGCAGCTGTAAAACTAAGAAAATGTAGGTCCCAGTTTTCTTACAGCAAATGGCCATCTGCAGTAGTGAGGACTGCTAAGACTGAATTGAACTATTACTGTAGTACATATTGCTAAGCCTGAAGACTGCCAAAAAGGGATTCAGTTTTTTATTCAGTTCTTTAGAAGCCCAGTTTTAATTCCAAAGAGTGTCTTTTAAAACATGTAGTAACCAGGTGCCTGCGGGAGATGCCAAGGAGGGCAAATAACAAAGGCAGGAATATATCTTCATGATACAAGCTCCACAACTTTTGAACATGTGTCTTCACACACACAAAGAGGTGGAAATTGTGTCATAATTGTGCTTCTGTCATTTTGATGGAAATGCTGTGTCTTGCACATTCTTTGAATACATACATACAGACCAACAGGAAAGGACTTTGTTCATCTTAGCCTTATTCACATTACTATATTTAGTATAGCATAATAATGCTATAGCAGTGTTAATGCTGTAGCATAAGATAATGTTCCAAAGTTGTTTTGCATCAGGAGCA